TCTACCTCTATCTAAGTTTTGCGTAATGTAGTTGGTAACCGAAAGTAAAGCATCTGATGTTGATTTTTTTGCACGAAAACCGAACTGGACATTTGATAATAAATTCTTTTGCTCAAGGTAGTTCACTAGTCTAGAGTTTATGATTTTTTCAAAAACCTTAGAGATTGACGGCAGTATTGATATAGGACGATAATTATTAGGTAGACTTTGATCGCCATTTTTGTAAATTGGATGAACCACAGCTTTTTTCAGCACCCTTGGAAAAACACCTGCCGTCAAACACGAGTTGATAATAAATGTGAGAGGAGGCACTAGGATGTCTTCGTACTTTTTCAGAAGACCGGTGGAGATACCATCCCATTCAACAGCTATCTGTTTTAAAGCAAAGATAATCCGTTCAACTTCTTCTTCATCTGTATTTAAAATAACGAAAGAGTTTTTTATTAAATTAGGACTTGAAACCGCAGAAGTAGCAAGGGTGGAGATAGCTGTCGTCTGGTCAAATTTTTCAGCAAGGATTTTACCAGCATTGATAAAGAAGGAGTTAACTCTATCGGCCGATTCACATGGGAATGGACACAATTGTAATAATTCTCCAACCAGCCTGTATGATTAATGCTGTCCGTTTTGGAACCAAAATCTGGCCATAAAATTATGCTACTTTGTTCGTCTATTAATCTGTTATTGTCAATATGCAACAAAGTGAGGTCAGGAACTTTCAGACTAGAAGCCAAAAGTAATAAATAATAATGTAGCTGTATGACTAGATACTTCGTACTGATTGTGTTCATTAAAATTATATTTACTTATATACTGCATAAGAAGCTTAGGATTCCAAATTGGTGGCTTTACTGGTTTGGTACGTGCCATAGATATTGCTTATGACATGTGTTTTATAAAGAAATATGAGGATAAATCTACTTTTTAAAATACTTTTTGAAGTTAAGTGAGTGAATGTTGAAATCACAGATTTATGTACTAAAATTGTTCTGTAAGCAAGACCTATACACCTTATTGTAAATGTGCTAGATAACGTGCTACTTGTTCTGGGTTAGGACATTTATAATTAATCGAATTAGACTCGCACCAATTTTTCCATCTATTCCATGCTGGTTTATATGTGTTGATCTTAGAGCCTCGCCAACTTGATACATCATAATAACTTGACATATCTTGTCACCCAAAATCAGCCATGCTTCCAAGAGAAAGTTTGAATCTGTGGTGGGTGTATGCCTGTTCTCGTGTCTACTAGAGTGTGTACTAGGTCTGGAATTCGATAAGGGGGGGTGTAGAGCTCGGCGTTGAACATCTGCTTGCCAAAACACCTTGTTCCATTTCGGGGCAATATATATATATATATATATATATATATATATATATATATATATATATATATATATATTCCGCTGGGTTGATTTAATTGGTTTAGGACTCTGGGAATAAGATTGGGTGGGAATAACCACCTCAGTTTGTAGTGCCACTGGTGACAAAATGCGTTGTGATGTGCTTGCTTGTCCTGAATATTCACTGAAACATACTTCAGGGTCACGTGAGCAGTACTTGACGCAAATAGGTCTATCTCCGGTGTGCCCCACATTCGAAATATTTTGGATGTCGCCGCTATTGTGAGGTGCCACTCGGGGCAAGCCTTTTGGCGTGATAAAGCGTCCACTTCGACATTGAATCTACCTGGAAAGTACTGGGCCTGACGGTGTATATTGAATTTGTCTAGAAGTGCAAGGAGTTGTAGATTTTGCTCGAGAAGCTTTTTGGACTTCCTTCCGTCTTCGTTGTTTGTATAAGACACCACTGTTCGATTGTCTGTCTGAAGAAGCACTTGTGAGTTCTGTAGCAGATTTCGTTCGTGTGATATCGCTGCATGAGCTGCAAGAATTTCTTTTCTGTTTGCGTGCCAGGTTAGTTGCCGGTTCATCCAGGTCCCCCCGGTACTTATATCGCTGAGTTGAGCGCCCCAGCCGATATCTGAAGCATCGGTTGTAGTTGTAGAAGGAGAGTTATTACTGCATTCATGTGTATCGGTACATATTGACCTATAGCTTGTAGCCACCACTCCATCTCGGTTTGAACTGGTAGTGGAATACTAAGGGTGGTCCTTTGACAACTGTCAACTGAAGTATTGCAGTGTTTGACAGTGAATCCGACCTCTCCGGGTTACGTAAGTGGCAAAATTGAGTCTCCCCATTAAGATCAGATACTGTTTGAGGGACCACTTGCCTTTAAGAGCTGTTGCTGAAGTGCGTTGCGTAGCGTTAAGCACTTGTTCTCCGACAAGGACTTCGCATTGAGTTGTGTTACATGTTATGCCGAGAAACTCGAGGCACTGTGTCTGAATCAGCACAGACTTTTCGAAATTTATTGTCCAACCTAGTAACTGCATGATCTTTGTCGTTAATGATATATCTTGTAGTTGTTACATCGACTGGCTTGCCAATAGAAAATCGTCCAAATAAACTACACATCTGATGCCCCGATTCCTGAGAAACTCTGCTACCCAGTTTGTTATTGAGGCAAAAGTTCTCGGTGCAGAGGAAAGGCCATACGGTAAGCAGGTCATCTGGACCAGTTGATGCTGGCTTGAATTGATGTGATAATTTAGTCTCAAGTATCTTCGATGACGCCGAGCAATCTGAACGTGACAGTAGGCTTGGCTTAGGTCTAATTTTGCCATTCAATCCTGATACTGCAGGAAGGTGGGTACTCAAAAGTGGCTGAACAATCTGAAGGGTTTCGTTTTGACGAACCTGTTCAGTTGTTTCAAATTGAATATTGAACGGTAGCTGCAGTCTGCTTTTGGCACCAAAAAGAATGTGGAAAGGAAACTGGCACTCGGCTCCGCCTGTTCGATTGCTCCGGACTTTAACATACTTTGAATTTGATGAGTCATATTTAAGGAAATTTTGGTCTTGTAGCTCTGAATCACAATTTGATTTTGAAGTATTAGAGTATGAATGGGATGTACGAGCCGCTTAACAGTCTGCATATTTGTTCCGGCGCGCCTAAATTGCTCCAAACACTTTGAAATTGTTTCAGGCAGCCGCCATGAAATTCTCGACGAGTCATTTACGACGGTCCTCTTTATGCTGGGGTAAAAATTCAAAATGTTCATTATTCACGGTTTGATCCATTTTTCTTTTCTTGTGAAGAAAAAGAAAGCAGTCAAACATGACTGCAAACACTTTTCTGACAAATCACTGCTATCTGAACTCGATGATTAAGTACTCACACGTTTTTGAGAATTTAATAATGTAACTTCGTCGACACTTTGTTCCTCCATATTTTATCAGTAGGGTAGTTATTTATCACTTCTCACTTAGTTTTAGTATAATTGAAACTTTTTCGTGCTTACAAAGGCTGACTTGCGAAAAACAACGCTATAATGGAGAGACCTGTTTTTTTTTTTGCGCCCGAAGCAATTAAAGGGCTACCCTATACGTAGGGAGGCGGAAAATGCATTACGCATACCACGATAGCCGGTCTATCGTGGTTATGAGGGGCTCACTGTCCTACCGGGGACCCTAAGTGATACCCTCTAAAAACCGCCTTTGGGGACAGGCAGCCGGCTGATCAAGCTGTGTTGTGCCTTATCATGAGCGACCCTCTTTTGGGAAAAGAGGGCGCAGGCGGCTAAGTGCCGCTGAGGGAGTGCCTACGAAGGCAAATTAATGTTAGTTATTACAATAATTTAATTTAATTAGAGTTGGCCTGAGCCGCCAGGAGACAGTTCAGGACGTTTGACAGTTTATTAGGCGGGTCCGAGAGAGAGTTTCTCGGCCTGCGGACACGATAGCGAGAGGGGGGGGGGGCTGCATAAGAAGCTGCCTCACGAATTAAATGGTTTGGGTGCGACTCTGAGGCTTTGAAGAAGTTCTCAGAGAGTTTTTTAAAAAATTGTTGAATTGTTGGGAGCTCTAAGTCCCGATGAAGGTCGGCATTACGGACGTACCAAGGTGCGTTCGCAGCTCGACGACAGAAGAGGTTCTGAACTATTTGGAGTTCATTTAGAATATTAGGGTTTGCGTGGGCAAAGACGGGGCCCGCGTAGGAGGAGAGAGAGACCTGGTGCTCATCACTACTTAAATAACAAATCAAAAACAGTGGTGGGGTGCCCCCTCCATGCAGGTAAGGTAGCCGGAAGTGCCGACTTTAGGCGGAAAGACAAGTGCTTGACTCAAGATGGAACCCGGATATTGATACATAACAAATAATATAAAATTTATATAAAAATAAAATTATAATCAAGACAAAATTATTAACATAAAATAGGTAATAAAATATATTCATGTTTTTTTATTTTATCATAGGTAACAAATTAACTTACTCCATTATTTATCTCGTCTCCCGTTAATGTGGGATAATCACAAAGGCGGAAAAGTGTCAACATTTAACCTAAATCGCAATGTTCGATAATTTTATTTAATTATTTGAGGTTTTTACGTTTATATGAAAACATGAACTGAAACTTATGTGTGGAAAGTGATTCCATCTGATTTATTATGTCTTTGTGACCTTGAATCGCATTCTTTCACTACGCATTTACTCATTTTTTGTCGCGGATCTTTCGGCTCAACTCTGTCGGCGTCACATTGATTAACTGACGTAGCTAGGCATATGGCTGTGGCCATATGTGTAGTGGCAACGCTTTGGCGCGATAATTACTAATCTAGTGTAATATATAAATCAATGTTCTAAAGTGACCGTAAAACACTACTCTACATGATGACACTACGATGATTGACTATAGATGCTTATGCATTATGTACAATTGCCACATAATATATTGGTCATTAGGAAGAGGACCCTTAATAGGAGTTGATTGCCAAAATTTGAGTATTTAACTTCCTTGAGATAAATTGATAGCTGTAGTCTGTAGGTTACTATACTATGATTATACTTATGTGCCTATTTAATTTCATACTTTTAGTCTGAGATACTTTTTATTTTTAATAAATTAAATAAAAAACATAGATCTGTGGTAGTGTTTATTTTGGTATATACGCTCTCTCAATTTTCACATCATCTACTGGGCAATCATTTTTATCACATTCCACCAAGCCTATTCTTTTAACCACTGACATACCACTTTGCACCCGTCCAAATATTGTATGCTTCCCATCCAACCACTGAGTTGGGGCTAATGTAATAAAAAATTGTGATCCATTTGTATTAGGGCCAGCATTTGCCATTGACAAAATACCTGCTCCAGTGTGCTTCAGATCTGATGTGATTTCATCATCGAATGTGAGACCATATATAGACTGTCCTCCTTTTCCTGTTCCTGTCGGATCACCACCCTGTATCATAAAATCTCTAATAACTCTATGGAATTTTGTGTTATTATAATAACCTCTTCGGACTAATTCCATAAAATTCTTGCATGTAAGTGGTGAATGTTTCCAGTACATTTCAACTATCATGGTTCCCATTCTGAAATATATAAACAGTATTTATAACACCAGATAAAATTACACATGATGTGGTTGTAGAATAAGACATTAATCATGACATCCCTTGGATGTTGAAAGAGATAATAACTATAAACCCCAGAATAGCTTTTCATAGACGACAATGGAAAGACAGATGTTAGCAACTTATTCCACTCCTTTGCTCTACACATTGCACTTCCGATCAAATAGTGTCATAATTCCGAAATACAAATAGTAGAGTAAAACTTTATTTTTCACTTCTTGGGGCATAACTCGAAAACTAACAAAATTATTGTAATAATGTTTTTACATGTAACATTTTAAATTTCAATGGTTTTAAATGCTCTGCAAAAAAAATGTTAAAAATTAAGAGTTTGGAGTTGTGACATAAGACAAAAAAAAGAATATTTTACAAAATATTATTTAATGAAAGGCATATTCTCAGGATTCGAAATTACATAATTCCCATATCTTCGGTTATCTTGTCTACACTGGATATACATAGTAATCTGCAATGGGGTTCCTAAAAAAAAAAAAAAAAAAAAAAAAAAACACTGGAGGCTGCCACTCGAGAACCTATGTTCCCCATCGGTTATCGGTTCTTCGAGTGATATGGCCGGCCCATTGCCACTTCAGCTTACTAATCTGTTGGGCTATGTCGGTCACTTTGGTTTTACTGCGGATATCCTCATTTCTGAGTCTATCACGCAGAGAAACTCCGAGCATAGCCCTCTCCATAGCTCGCTGAGCGACCTTGAGCGTCCTCATACGGCCAGCAGTGAAGGACCACATCTCAGATCCGTAAGTCATCACTGGCAACACGCACTGGTTGTACACTTATATATATAATATATATATATATATATATATATATATATATATATACTTATAGTCAACCAAATCTAAGAAATACATTTTGACTACTGTCAGACTTATTGCACCAAGCATGCCAACCAAAAAAATGAGAATGTACAATATTCAATTCTTGAAAAAATTGATACCAATTATTTAGAGTTTGTAATCATTTACAGTTTGGTATTTATTGTTACCTACTGCTTATTGCTAGAGGCAAAGTTATAAAAATTTAAGATTGAAACAAGATTAAAAATAAATTTATTCAGTCAATTTCAGAGCAACTACAAGTACAAGCTGTTTTTGTTTAGATTCATTATTATTTGATTTTTAATAACGCAAATACAAAGCATAACAAACACATGAATACCTCGCAAAAGTCATTATGTTAAATTTTAAGTTCTATATGCTATTAGTTTCAGTCAACATTATAGTGACACTAATGCCATCTAACAATAAATAGTTAAATCACTAGCTAAAACACCTTCTGATATGAAATTTTGAACTTATCCGAACCTAACAAAACAAAAAAGTTTTTTGATGTTATTGAGTTAAGACACTATTTTAGTAGAGGTCAGACATGAAGAACAATGAAGCTAACATATTGGTTTGAATGCATGGTGAGTCAATAATGAGAAAAGGGGACTAGTTGAGCATCTGGTTTTCAAATAGTGGAAGGAAAAAGGAGGAATTAAGTTAAGCAATTCCTGCCCACCTTATCCAAAATGCATCCTGTGGAAAACCAAAGGACTAGCTACATAGCAACTGTGTTCAAGAATGGTGAGATAAGTTTTAACCACATTCTGGTCAGCTATAAGCCTCTTAGCATGCCTTTCCATTGAGATCAAAGTTGCTAGGTAGCATTTTGCAAAATAGCCCATATATGGCAGCTCTATCCCATGCTCTGTACCAGACTTGTGCTTTATATAGAGTAAGCAGCTCTCTTTCGGACTAAATTGGATCCCAAATGGACGGAGCACTTGGTTGGTATCACCCCACAACTGTGCTATCATCTGCACACATAGATACCGGTCATTAATAGCATTATAAAATACTCAAAATTTTTTGTCAATACTTACGAAGTTTCTAAAACTGCGACGGGCGGTTGCCATGACTTATCAGGAATACCAGCATTGGAATAGCCTAGCATACTTCAACTTTATAGCAGGGTTAACTGCCAAAATTAGTTAGAAAAAAAGAATAATAACAAATTTATCCTAACAAGTGGAAAACCTAATAGGATTTTAAATAAACTAAATCTATCGTGGGATAATAAACCAGATGTATTTTAATTTTCCTATAGACAGTTACTTCGTATATCTGAAAAATTGTGCATTACAAACATATTTATTTATCTATGCATTACAAAAAACATTAAAATCATAGAGTATAGTAAAATCATAGATTACTGTATATATACTAGAGTAAAATATACAGAAATGTATCCTCTTAGTAGTCTGTGACAGAAATCCACAGAAATAGCTTGCTACATATTTATTTATCTATGACAGAAACACAGAACACTAATATAGTACGCGTCACGTAAAAAGAACTCTGGCGGTCAAGCTGCGCATAGGCGATTTATCGGTCTACTAAGTAGACTACCTCATACCACCAAGTAGACTCTACTTGGTGGTATGAGGTAGGGCGCGGGGCGAGTGAGCCACGCGCCGCATGTTTACCGATGCGCTATTGGTTCATCAGTTGAGCTTTGCTTCCCGCGTTACGTTCCTTTTAAAAATACCATCGCGCACAAAAGTTTTAAATTACGAAATGGTTTTACATAGAGAAGTGAGAAAAATGATTTATGACGTATACTGTTTTATGAAGAGGGAAGCTGATAATAATGTAGTTAATAATTTAAAACAATGTATGAAACGGACCGCAGAGGCAACAAAATGTTCCGAGTCGACAGTGAGACGAATAGTAAAGGGTTCAAAAGATTCGGAATTTCTTACTGTTTTCCGAACTCCCGGCAAAAATAAAAGAAAGAAAACAAAACCAATAACAGACATTGACAGCTTTGACCAGGGTGTTATAAAAAGAATGATCCATAATTTTCACGTTACTGAAAAAGAATTGCCTACCATAGGCAAGTTGCAAAGGAAGTTACAGGATGACATACATTTCCAAGGATCTGCAGCAAGTCTCAGGCGAGTATTGAAAAACTTGGGTTTTAAATGGAAAAAAACGGAAACCAATAGAAAAATCTTAATTGAGCAGTCACAAATTCGATTTCAAAGAATTGAATATCTGAGAAAGATTAAAAAATATAGAGAGGAAGTAAGACCTATCATTTACACTGACGAATCATACGTCGATAGTTCCCATGCGTCTCACCATGCTTGGACAGACGGTTCCACTAAGGGCATTAAAAAACCTGTATCTAAAGGTAGCCGCTTAGTCATAGTGCATGCGGGTGGCGATGCAGGTTTTGTGCCGAATGCTTTACTGACGTTTAAAGCCGGTACAAAAAGCGGCGACTACCATGACAATATGAATTCTGAAAATTACGAGCGGTGGCTCCGTACTCAACTGATACCAAATTTACCGCCTAATTCAGTCGTGGTAGTCGATAATGCATCGTACCACAATAAACAACTCGATGCTGCACCAACGTCCAATTCAAAGAAAGCAGACATGCAAACCTGGCTTCGTCAAAAAGGTATTGAATTTGAAGAGACCATGCTAAAGCCGTAGTTGTACAACTTAATAAAAAAATGCAAAGATAAATTTAAGAAATTTAATATCGATGCTATTTTGAATGAAGCAGGACATTCTGTACTTCGTTTGCCCCCATATCACCCGGACCTGAATCCTATTGAAATGGCCTGGTCCCAAATAAAAAGTTATGTTGCCTGTAAAAATGTAACTTGGAACCTGACACGTATAACTGAGTTGATTCATGAAAAAGTAAATTTAATGGGAGCAACAGAATGGGGGAAGCTCTGCACGAAGGTAAAACAAATAGAGGCTGATTACTGTAAAAGCGATCATGTGGTGGACATGATGACAGAAACATTTGCTATCCACATAGGGGATCATGATTCCGACTCAGATTTATAATCATTTATAACCAATTATACTGCATGTTTATAACCATCTGTACTTATAATATCATAATGCCTTTGAAACGCACCCCACCAAAAACGAGAGAAGGGAAAAAAAAAAAAAAAAAAGGCGTTTCCTCCAGCGACGACGATCAATGGCCACTCTAGCACAACACCGCACCTCATGGTTCCACGCAGACAGAGAAAAAAAAAAAAAGAGAAGAAACAACCCCCAGCCAAAAGCAAACTAAAAAAAAAAAAAAACAGCGGAACCACCCAAAAACACACACCACTTTCTTCCAGCGTTCTTTTTACGTGACGCGTGCTATACCTTTAGGCGGGGACAGAAATCATTAATTTCAACCGCTATAACAACACATTCTCAACCGTAGACAGAGAAACCTATAGACAAATTGACGCCTTCTTTCGCATTCGCACACGAAAAAGATAGATTTATGCATACGTCTTGCATAGAAATGAGATAGAGCGGTGTGATTGTTTGTCCCTTTCTCCGTGCCGGTTTTTTTGTTTAGCAAACTGTAGATTTTGCTAAACAACTTTAACAGCGTAGCGATTTAAGGAATTTGCAAGTTGGTTTAAGTGAGAAAAAAGTGTTTTGTGAGCTTAAGATTGGTGAATCTTGGTAAGTTCAGTTCTTAGAACAGCTAAAATTTTTATCTAAATGTGTTTAAAAGTCATAAAGATTATTGTATAACCCAAAAATTCGTTATCGTCCTTTCTCACTCGAGGCCACGCCGATCATTAGTCTATAGGTTTCTCTGTCTACGTTCTCAACCTTTTAACTGGTTTTAAGGCTCTGGGTACTAGCCCTTCTGAGCCTATCATTTCTTTCATAATTTTCATTTTATATATTTTTTCTTCACAATATGATGATGAGTCACATTGCAAAGTTTTTGGGAGAGTTTGACGACAGCTCAACCCAGGGGACTGTTGGTGACAACAGCCACTCAAGTTTATGAGGTGCCCAAGCGATCAAATTAACTTGAGGTTTATATCAACATCAAAACACTTGTTTCGTCGTTTTCTCTAATAGTTCACACGCGCAGAAACTATAATTTACAAAATCACACTACTTTTACGAATTAAAATCCACTTCAAACCACTATTCAAGCTACAAAACAGGAGCGATAATCCGTCGTCGGCCAAGTTCCCGCCAAAACCATAGATAAATTAAATATGTAGCAAGCTACAAATACGACAGTGAATTTTAGTCAAGTTTCCCAACTACGCCTTTTGGCGCTGCAGTTGCCCATTTTGTCAGATGAGTAATGACTATACAATTTAGTATAGCTATCTATAGCAAGCACACATCCTTCAAATTATCGATATCGATATTTAGTGGTGTTCTTATTTTATCGAAATCGACATAAGTGCATTATACAGGAATAATATTACTTAATGAAACAATTATAATACATCTACCAGTGGCGAAGTTTCCATTAAAGCCGAAAAGCCGGGCTTGCCTTATTAAACCTGAATCAATCAATAATATCAACAAATAAAATAACTCGTAAAATGTTTCAAGCTATTTCAAATTTCCCGCACACTCCATTTCGACACATGTCGACCCATGACCTCGTATTGCCTTAGCGATACTGCTGCTGTCATAAAAAATGAGTTTTAATAGAGCTAATAGTTGTCTCCCACGCTCGCGTGAGCTTTTTACGGGGAGAAGACGATCGCTCTCTTTCTAACCTATGGCAAAATATTCTATAATGAAATATAACTACGATTGTATATATAACAATTAGTATAGAAATTTAAAGCCAGGCTTTTGGGAATAAATTTGTTAAAAGCGGAAGCGCGCGGGCAATACGTTTGCAAGTTCATTTCACGTTATAATGTTTATTTACTCTGTGTGCTTATCTTAAGCGATTTAATATTACGAGTTCAAAATGTATGCTTTTTTAAAGATTTTTAATGAAAATGGAGGATAATAGTGTTCCTTGTGATGAATTGAAGTGTGTTAAAGTCATAATCGGAGAGGAAATCTTTAAACTTTGTTGAGATAATACATAAGGTTAAAAGTGTATTTCAGACTTATCAATTATCGCAATTAAAAACAGTTATTAGTACAATTAAAACGTTCACCAACATTTTACGTGGATGTAATTAAATCTTTCCATAAGAAAGCGAGACGATTCCACTTATCTTATCTCTTATCCATTAGAATGTAAATAATTTTTTTTAATTTTGTACATAGTTTGTTTGTACTTTGTTCGTGTTTTACTTTTGTTCATGTATTGTATTGGATGTAAATATATTTATCTTTCGCTTAAACAAACCCAAACGGTTTTCTTCAAAGCCACCGAAGCTATGCAATTGCTGATATGTAATACAATCAATCTAGCAGTGGTATGCCTTCTGTGTGCTCTGTTAAACACGTCCTTGACAGCACTGAATATGAAACTGAAGCGTGGAGACAGATCAAGATTAGTGAATTTTATAAAACTGCTAAATACAACAATCTATATTTTTATCAATTTGTATCTTGGGCTTGCCCTAGCTTGGAGCTCTAGTTTCGCCACTGACATCTACCTTATTTATTTTTATTCAACCACACCAACATCATATACATACACACGCAATATTTATAGTTCATTAAATAAAGCAAATTAAACCACAGGAATCATATTTAAGTGCTTAGTATTTTACTTTTGAAGTTATATTTTTTAAGAAGCAATGCTATTTATTTTTCGTCAGAGGTAAAAACCTGGCCATTCATTTACAAAAATTAAAAAATATCTCTTCTTTAATTTCAATTTTTACACCACGTAACCTGAAAAGAAATAAATAAAAATAAAGTCCAATATCATTGAGCTATTATGTACTACGTACTAGAGGCGACACTGCATTCAGCTACTCTGTTCCACTCAACTGCGGTGCATACACCGCACTTAAATCAGTCACTCGCTAGGCGCTTGTAGAGTTGTCACGTGTTGTGTTGATTTAAAAAAATCTCTTGATAAAAATATGCCGTCGTGTGTACTTAGATATTGCACAAATAATTCAAGAAATGTCAGTAAAAACCAAGGTATTACTTTTCATCGGTTAATAAGATACTTAATCTATAAAAAAGTATTATAAATTAATAATAAAACAAATTATTCCTAAGACGCCATCTTGTGCCATGTAATATAGATTATGAAATTAATTTGTTCAGATGCGACATTTCTGTGGGTATTAAGTATTAAGTATAGGATGAATATATTATTATACACATTTTTTTATAGAAACTTATATGAGTTATCATAATTAGGCCAATTTTTTATATTTAAATCTGCTCATTATTCTTTTATATTATTTTTAGGTTTCCACATCAAAGTCAAAATAGAATAAAATCGTCCATTTTTAACTCTCGCGTGCCCAGCATTTATGAACGACGCTTATTCTAATTTAAATAAATATATTTGTAATTTAAATTTTATATTAATAAGTTTTGTTAAACATACATTTAGTATATTTTTTTATATTTGACATAGATACCTTTTAAAATATTCAGATAAAAATATCATTAAAATGTAATTGTGATATAATATTAAGTAATATTATATTAAATAAGCAAATATTATATACGAAATAAATGACAAAATTTGAAAATTGTTCTCGATATAGTTTACCTATTTAACAATACAATCTGTTATTACCTATTCTATCATTCTACCTATGTTTATTCTATGATAAAAAAAAACAACCGCGCGAACACAGAGTAGCGCACATGTTTTGTTTGAAATTGCTGTTCTAGTACGTAAATACATATTACTTCAATGTCCAATATTCATATTTTATGACTTAATGGTAATCATAAATTATATTATATTATTTATATTAAGGTAACAAAGGGTGGCTTCATGGCAGTTGGCATTTTGGCCAAAACTCCATTCTCAACCGCATAGAGTACAAAGAGTATAATAAGTGTATTATATAAAGGTACTCTATGAAGTACAGGAAAGAGAGCTCTCTGACCCTCTTACACATTTTATTACTGACAAAATTGAACTACTAGCGCCTCCTACAAATTGAATCCGAACTTATTCGCTAAATATATACAGCTATATTATTTATCTAATATATTGATTCGCTTTAAAAGGTAGGTGCTAGAAATAAAGCAAAAAAAACTGATCTTTAGAAGTCATATTTATTTGTAGACTAAAATATCAAAATGAAACAAACATAATAAAATCTTAACAAAATAAATTAAAAATTCTTGTTGACACCCATTTTAAAGCATTTACTTAACTAATGAGGTACAGTTGTTTACACGTTGTTTATAAATACTAGAAAATAACCCAAAACTAAAAATCACACCTTTTTTAGGAACAAATAACAGAAATATTGCCTAATATCTACATATATAAGTACTACTTTCTACTAATACTTAGATATTTTAAAAATATGCTATATGCTGTGCAGATACTTCTGATAAAAAATACCTAGGTAACTTCGTTATAAAATCAAAAATGATAGGCACAATATAAAAATACAAAATAGCTATTGTAGCAATGATATTTTCCGAGACTTTGCTACAGCAAATTCATTAATTACATCGCTAAAATTTATACCATCGAAAATTTCACCAATTCATAATAAGATCAATAATTAATTATTTAATAACATCAATTGCCAATATCGCTAGCCCAGACAATCTTTCTTGAAGCATTGTCGATATTAAATAATTTTTAATTATTATTAACTTTGAAAAAGATCGCCAGAAGCTACAGATACAAGTAATATCAGAAAAAATCTTAGTGAAATGCTTACGTTTGGAAAAGTGGAGAATAAATTATTTTCAAATATATGTTGTAAAATACATAAGGGGACAGTATCATCAGGTAATGAAAACAACTTTAACGTTTTAATTTCAATAAACAAATCATTGGAGTCTATATCCTTATTATCCTAATCTGTCTGCCGTTCTTCAAGAACAGAACGATGTTTTAAAATATCGCTGTCACTTAATTTGAATATGTCGCTAAAAATCCGAAAATATTATCATACTCATTTAATAAGTCAAATCGGTTTTAGAGAGCTTAATGTTTGATCTATAATTTTTTATGAAAAAAAAAAACTAATTTTAAAGACATTTTTTGGATCATGAGGGGTCTCATCTCGTTGTTTATAGTCAAACAGTTTTCGTTTAAATTTGCTCCTGACCGTTGATAATGGTGGAAAGTCTTCTTCAATTTCGAGAGAGTGTGCTACTTCTTTCGCTTGTACAAGAATTTCTTCAAACAATTGGTCAGATCTGTATTGCTGGAACTGATCAACTAATTTTTTTAGGTAGGTTTGACATACTTTAATATTAATTGTAGCACTTTGCATTTGTTTGCTGACAATATTTATGTGAAATAAAACGTTATACCAAATAATAATTCCACAAATAAATTGAAATTTTAGTACAGACGTTAAGAGGAAACTCGCTTTATGTCTTGCATCAATGTAAAAGGAATTGTCTTCAGCTACTTCTAGAAGACTTTCGCAAACCTTAATCAAATAAAGTTTAAGGGGCTTTATTGAGTTAATTCTGCTGGACCATCTTGTCTCACTTAAAGGCCTTAAACTTAACCCAGGGATATTTTTTCTCAGAATATCCCACCTTTTTGTGAATGACGAAAAAAAATTATACAACTCTTGCACAAGATTAAAAAAGTTTATTGTAGCATCTGAAACTTTAGAAGCGTCATTTACTGTTAAGTTCTAAGTATGAGCCACACATGGTACAAAAAGGGCTCTCGGATTCGTGTAAAGAATGCGTTTTTGAAGCCCATCATGCTGTCCCTTCATGTTTGCCCCATTATCAAAACCTTGTCCCCTAATATTTTTCATATCTAAATTTAATTTTTTCAAAATTACTGTCACAAATGTATATATCGTTTTCCATGTAGAGTCCAGTATTGGATTAAACGCAATAAAACTTTCCTTAACTTTAAACTTTTTTGAAGTTGTGTTAAAGACAACATACCTCAGAACAAGACTAATTTGCTCAGTATGACTAGTGTCTGGTGTACAATCTAATATTATTGAAAAAATATCTTGAACTGCGAACCATTTCTAAAATATTGTTGCGCGCCTAAGTTGACGGCTGGTACCTGGCAATAGCGCCATCTAGTGTCGGGTAACAGAGCGAGGAGAGCTTTCCAGAAAATGCCATGACTAATCTTTCAACCAACAGCGCCATCTAGTATCGAATTGAAGAACTAAGCTTTCTAGAAGCCCCACACTCGAACTTTCTGCGCCTGGTCGGTCGGGGCCCCTTATTTACTGGAATATTCTGGATTTTTTCGTGGAAGAGCCCTATATAAAGCCATTGCAAGCCGCGATCGGGGCTAGCTGCGAACGCACCTTGGTACGTCCGTAATGCCGACCTTCATCGGGACTTAGAGCTCCCAACAATTCAACAATTTCTTAAAAAACTCTCTGAGAACTTCTTCAAAGCCTCAGAGTCGCACCCAAACCAATTAATTAGTGAGGCAGCTTCTTATGCAGCCCCACCCCCCTCTCGCTATCGTATCCGCAGGCCGAGAAACTCTCTCTCGGACCCGCCTAATAAACTGTCAAACGACCTGAACTGTCTCCTGGCGGCTCAGGCCAACTCTAATTAAATTAAATTATTGTACTAACTAACATTAATTTGCCTTCGTAGGCACTCCCTCAGCGGCTCTTAGCCGCCTGCGCCCTCTTTTCCCAAAAGAGGGTCGCTCATGATAAGGCACAATACAGCTTAATCAGCCGGCTGCCTTGTCCCCAAAGGCGGTTTTTAGAGGGTATCACTTAGGGTCCCCGGTAGGACAGTGAGCCCCTCATAACTACGATAAACCGGCTATCGTGGTATGGTATTCGTAATGCATTTTCCGCCTCCCTACGTATAGGGTAGCCCTTAAATTGCTTCGGGCGCAAAAAAAAAAGCGATCGGGGCAGTATTGAATTTGGCGAGACAAGCAAAGCTTCAGAGCGAAATAAAGTGAATCAGTGTGATTAATTATTAGTGTTTTTAAGTTTTAATTGATGTTCGGTAATAAAAGTGTAAATTTTGGTAGTTCAATCAGCAGTTTTTATTGTCACGAACCTCAACCTCGTAACAATATTATTTCTTACTTTAGGCGACCATTATTTAATTATTTCATTCTATATTTGCACGCCTAAATTTTTTTGGGAGTAACACACTCGGCTAACGTGCTGTCTCATCACTGAATGAAAAGAGACAATCATCTCAACAGCTTTTAGAAAATTTCCATTATCATGTTCGAAAAGTAATTTCGAAGAACCTTGAAATGCCAAGAATTGTGTAGATAAATACTTAACAACCGCAATAATTCTTTCCAAGACGTCGCGCCAATATTTTTTTTCCATTTCTAAAATCCGCAGGTGATGAGCATTAACAGTCGTAGATGTCTCCAACATTTTTTTTTTTAATTTGCCCATGTGTTCATATAACTATTGTGTAAAATTGACGTTTCGTGTCTCTTTATTAGCACTTTCTTACACAAGCTGAATTACCTGAAGTGGATTGTTCAAGTGCTGTAGACGAAGATGGTGTCATAGCTTCATCGGGCTCTGCATCAGTAGAAGCTGTTTTGCTGCTGCAACCGCCGCCACTTGTTGCAGGACCTGATGTTACCGTAGTCGCCACTGTTGAAATTTCGGATGGACCACTCATATTACGGATATTACGGATTTAGAATCTTGAGATTCGGTCGCATCGATAGTCTCCGTGGAATCTTCACTATTTTGCAAGAAGTGCTTTAAAGACCCAGCCATTTTTTCCCTTTCTTGTAGTCTCAGTTTCTTTTGTTCGCGAAACTTTACACCTGACGGTCTCTTCCTTTTATCCTGAAAAAAAAAACAAATAAATAATTAGTACTTATAGGAAGATGAGCTCCTTAACAAACATTATGGTACAGCTGTAGAACATCCGGCACTTCAGCTTTAGGGACAACCATTTGCAAATGACAGCTGTCTCCCCGGCCATTTTCCCATTTACGGCACAGAACTCCATTCTGAAGCAGCAAGCTGTCCCATGGGGCTCAATAGCTTTTCGCGGTCGAACTCATCGCTGAGACGTCGATCCACTTGGGCTTGGGAGCACTGGTCTTCATCCTTTCCAGAATCGGCTTGATGTCCGGATCTTCCTGCTGTACATCTTGTAATCTGTCCTTTCACTCGTTGCTGAGGTGGTCTATCCTAAACATCCTCACAGATACCACTTCCATACCCTCTTGCCTTGCTTCAATCTTCAGGACAAGGTCTTCTTGATAATGCATCTGCGTTGCCATGAGATTTCCCACTTCGATGTTCGATAGTAAAGTCGTATTCCTGCTGCTTCTGGGCGGTGTTGTTAGCCGTACTACCCTCTCGAGATCGATCATCTTCCCTTTTTACAGATCACTTAGGGCAGCTGGGTCGAAGATGGCCCCTTTCCTTACAGCCGTAGCACCTTGGGCTGTAACTTTTATTGTGGTCGCCTACTGTAGGTGCTGCAACCTCCCTAATGCGATGGGAACGATGATCCTGCCGCACGGCTTCAATCTCCAGTGCATGGGCCAAGGCTTCCTTAAGCGTCACATGGTGCCCGAACCTCACAGCAGCTCTGACTTCAAGGTCGCGAATGCCGTCGATAAATGTCTGCAACAGGTTCCCTTCAATGAGCGCAGGTACAGACCGGTATGCTTTTCGAACCAGCTTCTCCACTTCAAGAGTTCACTGGTGGAGGTTTTCGTTGATGCGTTGCACGCAATCTTTAAGCTGCAAACGAAAGACGTGTTCAAGGTGAGTGTCACTATATCTCACCTCCAATGCATCAAGGAGCTGCTTATAAGTCACTTCCTCACCGAAAGCTTCTAAAACAGTTAAGGCCTGGTTCCGCAGGCCTAGTGTGAGAGCAGTTATGGCCTGACTTTTATTCCAGCCGTTCGCCTTCATAACAGCTTCGAACTGGATTTTGTAGGCCGACCAGGAAGAAGTCCCGTCGAACGCTGGCACTTTGAACCCATGTAGCCAAGGTGTACTAGCTACTACGGAAGCCGTAGTTCCATCCCCAAGTTTGAGTTCGTCCAGTGATTTCTTCATGTCAGCCATTACATTATCAACCCGATTGTTCACTTGGTCGATTTGGGTTTCAGCTTCCAGCAGGCGGTGGTCAGTTGGCGGTTAATCGCTGGGGCGCCTTATGAACTTGAGTGGCTGTCGTAATCAACAGTCCGCTGGGTTAGATTGTCGTCAAAACCTCCCAAAGGCTTTGCAATGTGACGCATCAGCATATTGTGAAGAAAAAGAATATAAAAATGAAGATTTTAAAAGAAATGATAGGCTCAGAAGGGCTAGAACCCACAGCCGTAAAGAGGTTCTCTCATGGCTTTTGCGTCAAAACCCACTGAAGACTATCATGAAGAAATGAATTGAGAAAAGTTTACTGAATGCTTCACCTCAATATTCTGTAGCCTCCCTGAACCATCTATTATAATTATGGACAACGCCCCACACTACTCGATGCAAATTGACAAGCCACCTCCCCAATCCCAAACGAAAGCTGACATCGTCGCATGGCTTCAAAAAATTGCGTAGATGCAAACATAAATATGTTAAAAACGGAATTAGTATGTGTTTTAAAAGAAAACTAACCAACCTAGATACGATACGTCATTAACGAAATAGCGTTAGAACATGGGCACAGAGTTAACGGTTAACGCCTTACCATTGTGAATATAATGCAATTGAGTTGATGTGGGCTCAAATTAATGGATATGCTGCAAGACACAATACAGAACCCCCATTTACCATAACAAAAATGCTAAAAATATTAGGAAAATTTTGTGAACATGTGACTAACGGAGACTGGGAAAAGGTTGTGATTAGAACTGTTAAATTAATAAGGGAAGATTATGAAAGAGATGGCAAAGATGACAAAGATAATATTTTAGAAAACAAACTTATAATTAATGTAATGATTTCTTTTAATTACGCGAACACTACACATTGAAATAATACTAGTTTTTACGGAATTTATCGCGTATATTTAACTTTTTAAAATACCCGACGTTTCGAACGCTTTACAGCACTCATGGTCACGGGCGGGACTGAGATGTTCAACGTCCATATGTCATAGTTAACCGCGGTTACCATAGAGTAAAATTTAATTTTTGTTCCGATCTATGCAGTATGAACTTATGGTATCTTGAAGTCTTGCAGTTGTATGCTTGGGTTGGGATTTAATTTTATTTATTATAGGATCCCAAGCAGATGGCAGACTTCAACACGTACAGGATCGCCCCCGTCACTACATCAGATTTGATAGACCGCAAATCCTCGCTAAAGAACACCGATTCCTTCCAAGGATGATTCGCGAGGCTATTGAAATCAAAAAACATCCTAATTTCAATAGAGAAGATGGCTGGGTGCTACCATCTGCTTGGGATCCTATAACAAATAAAATTAAATCCCAACCCAAGCATACAACTGCAAGACTTCAAGATACCATAAGTTCATACTGCATAGATCGGAACAAAAGTTAAATTTTAATCTATGGTAACTGCGGTTAACTATGACATATGGACGTTGAACATCTCAGTCCCGCCCGTGACCATGAGTGCTGTAAATCGTTCGAAACGTCGGGTATTTTAAAAAGTTAAATATACGCTATAAATTCCGTAAAAACTAGTATTATAATTAATGTATGTAATGATAGCATTGACGATAGTGAAAATAGCAGTATGGACGAATCTGATTAAATATAATCTTTTGTGGCACCTTTTTTGGTCTCTTTTTGTATTAATTTGTTTATTCTGTGCATATAAAATATGTATATTCATTTTCATTCCAATATTCAGATCATTCAAATATATTAAGTAAGCATTTATATTTTTGTTTTATTAAAACTTTTTAATCAGGTATCACTTGCAATAAAAACTTATAGACTTCATTATATTTTTTTCGAGAATAAATTGACATTTCACATCACTATTGTAATATGTCAAAACGGCCATCATAGCGTGCCGCAACTATAATGGAGTTTAAAACTTGTAATTTGTTACATTGGCAAAATTAATGCCGAAACTGTTAGAAAAGAGTTATGAAGATAGAATTATCAAAGTAATAAATACTGGCCGTACGCATTTGACATTAATTTTGCGAATGTAACAAATTCCCAGTTTTAGCCATTGACTTATATATTACTAGCGTAAGGACTGGGCTGACCGACCATCTAAAACGAACCAGTGCGCTGGCCCTAAAATTACGGTTTAGGGCCAACGCGAATCAGTCGACAGTAGTGTGCGCGCAGGACAAATTTGTCATAAATATGTCAAGCTGCGTGGTAAAAGGATGCAAAAATTACGCTACGAGGATTAAAAAGGAACATGGGATATCGTATCATCGGTTAATAACCCTGTATTAAATTTGTTACAATTAAATTATTATATGAACACATTTGTAAAGTTTTATTTTACAGTTAGTTTAGTTACGTTACCAATATTAGGCCAGGGTTGGATTCAGATCCTCAAAAATATTGTACATGAAAAATAAAATTATACTATTTAAAAAAATTATATCAGGTTTGACGTTTCGTGTTTCTTTTTTCCCACGTGGCAGGATTTTGGCATCATGCATCTAGTTTATCTATATGTTTCGTTTTCGAAAAAGACCTCTGTCCTCAAAAGAACTAGCAAGAAATCCAGCGGGACTAAAAAAATAAACAGCTTACGTTTATGTCACAATTAGCAACACATATCAAATTAGAAATAGCTTGGTAGCGATCATCTCATTCCCAGGGATTATTATCATCCATAAATTCCTTGATATTATAATAACCCCTTTTTTACAAACTTAGCTTAATAAAGTTTTTGCACTTTGTGCTCCCATAAGTGGTTGTTAATAATTTCTTGAAGATAACAACCTCTGAATGTCTGCCGGATTTAGCAGTCCTGGTGTAAAATACCAAGACATATTTCGAGTAAGCTTGTTGATTTATTTAATATGATTGCCTATGTAAGTATGTGCCTTTAATGGTGTCGTTTGTAGCCAGCCGAGTACAAACTTTGAATCACAAAACATACTTACTTTATAAATATTCAATACAATGACTACATGTGATATTAGTTTAGCCAACAATAAAGCACCATTTAATTCTAATTTTAGCATTCTTTCATTTGTCATAACATTGCTGTCAATTTTGAATTTAAACCAGTCAGCTTGGACCTGGAGCAGAGATGGTGAACGTTAATTTTTACCAATTTTCAATTTCACATATACGCAACATCCGTGAGCGTCAGCTGAGGCATCACAGTAATAAACTTCATCACTGTTTATTATTTGTATGTAACGCGCTATATTTATTTTTTTGCTTATTAGATTTACATAAAAATCTACCCAGGTTTTAAATACTTTTGCTGGTAAAGGAGTATCTCAATCCAAATTGTTCCTCCAAATCTCTTGAAAAATAAGTTTGGCCTTGATAGTGATAGGCCCAGCAAATCCCATAGGATCGAACAAACGACGCTTTCAATACGCTTTTTTTTGTGGGATTCTGATGGGGTTAACGACTCGACCACTCAAAATAAAAACACAATCAACAGCATCGTAAGAAAGTTCTAATATTTTGACTATCGATTGATTTTAAACATTGATCAAGGTTCTTGCAGTTAAATCCCTGTTTACCTTCTGGTA